CGGGGACGCGCGGCCCTAGCCCGCCCGGGAGAGGGGCTTCCTGGAGGCGGAGCCCGCGCCACCGGCCCGCCGCCGCTCACCAGTTCCCTGAGCCCACGATGCACACTTTCAGTGGCGCCGCTGCCATGGCCAGGATGGAACGCAGCAGCCCGACCCGTGCCTCCCCAGCCGGCCGCCTGCCTGCCTCCGAGCGCACGGCTTTACCCACAGCGGCTCGCGGGGGCCCCGCCCCTCCCGCCTCTCCGCCAATGGCCGCGACCACCGCCGCCCGGGCGCCCCGGGCCACAGCTGACAGCCTGGGAGGACCCGCCCCGCCACTCCCGAGAACCACTGCGCACGCCTGAGCCTGGCGGGCCTCCGGGCCCGGCTCCGGCGCCGACCCGCCCCTGCCCGAGGCATGCCGGGACTTGTAGTCCGCGCCCCCGGCGCCCCCGCCACCCCCGGCGCCGCGCGCCCCTGGACTGCGGCTGCAGCCGCGCCACGTGCAACCGCGGGTGGTTGCGCAGCTGCTCTCTCGCAGCGCCCGGGGCTGCACCGCTGTTCCTGCAGAACGGGCCTACCCGGGCTCGTCGTGGTGCCCACCCCCCGCTCGCGCCCTTCTCCCCACGCGGGAAGCGCTGCCACACCAGAGTTTGGAGCCGAGAGAGGATCCCAGGTTGACTCTAGAGTCGACTCGACTGGGGGCGAAGTTCAAAGTACCCACACCTGCCTTTTCAGCCTCTGCCTCATTTGTGGAAACAGGAAACAGTCTGGCACCCCCTGAACTTCTTAGTGAATTTCTGAGGCCTTCTGGAGGTAGCTGGACCTGAGCTTCAGGATGGACACTTTCTAGTTAGTCAAGAGAGAGACCTGGACGCCGGCGGCATCGCACTCCCCCACTTGCTTGGCAGGACGTGCCTCCTCATTGTCTTTGCCCAGGGCGCCTAGAGAGCTTGTGGTTCGGACACTAGAGACTATGCTTCTCCTTCCTGACAAATAGAACATTATTTATTCATTCTGAGTGTCACTTTCCACCAGGCCACCGTGCTAGACACTGTGGGAGGAGGACAAAGTGGCTTATGACAGGCTCTCAAACTCTGCTGCATATAAGAGTCTTTGGAGCTTTTAAAAAAAACCCCAGGCCCCGGCACCACCCTGGATTGTCAGAATCTCCCAGGACACAGACATCAGAATTTTTTAAAGTTCAAAAGATGATTGCCAAAGGCAGTAAAGATGAGCACCAAAAAGCTAAAACACCAGTGGTGACTGGCCGGAGAAACAAATGCTCTAATCCCTAGAGAAATACTATTAGTCTGATGTTCAGAGGATTAACAACTATTTTTGTTTTCATCTTTGCATTGTGGGAAAGATTTATCGATATTACTTATGCTAAATACTTAAAGGAGTGGGTGGGACGAATTTTCTCCATTCCTTCACTGATGGTTTGCTCTTACTTCTTTGCACTAATGAAAGACATCTAGGCAGGGATGATGTGAAAGATGGACTTTAAAAGCTTTATTAGTTTTTTTCTTGCTAGAAATTTTTTTTAAGATTTTATTTATTTATTTATTTATTTGAGAGAGAGTGAGAGAGAGAGCACGAGAATGGGGTGAGGGGTAGAGGGAGAAGCAGACTCCGTGTTGAGCCAGGAGCCCAATGCGGGGCTCGATCCCAGGACCCTGGGATCATGACCTGAGCCGAAGGCAGACGCTTAATGACTGAGCCACTCAGGCACCAAGAAAATTACTTTTCTTAGAAAATGAAGTTGTCAAATTAAATAATGAATCTATGGACTTGGGGAGTATCCAGGCATTGCAAAGATTTATACCAAGTGATCCAGTTTTCGCCTTTGCCTGAAAATTTTATACCTCATCTGGAAATTCCTCTTCACCAGTGTGGCAAGGACACCTGCATGATAATGAGCTGCTGGCTATTCTGTGGACACACCCTACAAAACATTATCACACAGTGTTTACTGATCACCCGATATGCACAACACATTGTGCCAGAACATAGTAAGTTATCAATTATTTTATAGATTGGTTACAAAGATTAAGACAAAAACTAAGTAGGTGAAACCCATGAACATAATGTTGAGAGAATAAAGCAAGACAGAAGAGATGGCATGCTTTATGATTCTATGTCTGTTACTACAGAAACAAGCAAAAGTAAATAGACCAGTAGGGATACACACACGTGTAGTAAAACTGTAAAGGAAAACAAGGGAAAGATAAACAAATTTCAGGATTGTGGTTATGGTGGAGGGGAGAGGAGGGGAGGTTATTCTTCATAACGTTTGCATATATTATAAGCATGTTTTACTATGTATGTAATGAAAATCATGGGAGCGAGGAGAAGTGATAGTACAGAAGAGTGAGAAAAGCCGATTTTGAGGGAGCTGGTCTTCTGACCCGCTTCTGGTCATCTAAGATGGCAAAGCTGACATCGTCGGCCTTCTGTGTGTCACCTTCCCCGAGAGGGGGGAGCAGCCAGGAGGAGGAGTTAGCCAGTCTCACTGTGCCAGGGCTGACCCTTCGAGGACCTGGAGAAGCCATAGGGTGTATGTGACTCGGTGCCTGGGCACAGTGTCTCTGACGACATGACTAGTGTACACGTGTATCGTGGTAAAAACTGGCTGCGCAGCTAGAAGCCAGGAAGCACTTTGGAGACTCAGCTCAGAAAACTCCTTAGCTAGGTCACTGAGTTCATGAAGTATACTTTCTATTTTCTGCATTACAGGAGGCAATGGTAACAGAGATGCCAAACTTCCCTATGTACCTAGACTCTCCTTTCCTCTAGCTCCCGATAACATTTTTCCCCACCCCGTTAAGCCCTCGCCACCAACCTCCTACCCTCCCGGAGGCCTTTCTGACTTCCGCCAGCGGCCAGGTCCCAAAGCCAAAGCCAATGCTGCACGCTAGGGTGGCAGCAACATCCCACTTGCGGGTAGCAGAATCTGTTCTGGTTATCACTTGTTGCATAGCAAACCACCCCCGAACTTAGATCATAAAACAACCACATTCAATTATTTAGCCCCAGAATCTGCTGCTTAGGCCAGGCTCAGAGAGGAAGGGTCTCCCCAGCATGGGGATGGACTTTCAAACAGGGCTGGAAGATCCACTGCCAAGATGGCTCATTCATAGGGCTGGCTAGTTGGTGATGATTGCTGGCTGGGAGCTCAGCCTTAGCTGTGGGCTGCAGTCCTGCAGGCCTGAGTCTTCTCCATGTGGGCCTCTCCAGAAGCAGCTTCCCCATGGCAAAGTGTCTGGGTTCCACCAGCAAGCATCCCAAGAGAAACAAAATGGAAGTCACTGGTTTCTTAAGACCTGAACCCCCCAAATTATCACAGCATCACTTCTGTCATGATCTTTTAGTCAAGAAATCACAGAGCCCAAATTCTAGGGGAAGGGATATATAATGAATTCTTACAATTAAAGGAAGCCAGATTTATTAGAAAATGTTATTAAGGGGCGCCTGGGTGGCTCAGTTGGTTAAGCGTCTGCCTTCGGCTCAGCTCATGATCCCAGGGTCCTGGGATCAAGCCCTGCCTCGGGCTCCCTGCTTGGCGGGAAGCCTGCTTCTCCCTCTCCCAATCCCCCTGCTTGTGTTCCCTCTCTCGCTGTGTCTCTCTCTGTCAAATAAATAAATAAAATCTTAAAAAAATGTTATTAAAATCATAAGAGAAAATATCATTTACAGTATTGTATGTATATTTATTGAAAAAAATCCATGTATAAGTGGACCTTCTCTGTTCAAACCCATGAATTTTTTTTCAATAAATACAGTAAAGTACTATAAATGTATTTTCTCTTCCTTATGACTTTTTTTTTAAAGATTTTATTTATTTGACAGAGAGAGACACAGCGAGAGAGGGAACACAAGCAGAGGGAGTGGGAGAGGGAGAAGCAGGCTCCTCGCAGAGCAGGGAGCCCAATGTGGGGCTCGATCCAAGGATCCTGGGATCACGACCTGAACCAAAGGCAGACGCTTAACGACTGAGCCAGCGAGGCGCCCCCCTTATGACTTTCTTAATAACATTTTCTTTTACTTTGTTGTAAGAATACAGTGTATAATACATATTTAATACAAAATATGTGTTAATTGATTGTTTATGTTATCAGTAAGCCTTCCAGTCAACCGTAGGCTATTAGTAGTTCAGTTTGGGGGGAGTCAAAAGTTATATAAGGATTTTCAATTATGGAGGATGGTCAATACCCATAATACCTGCCTTGTTCAAGGATCAACTGTATATTTTCACATTACAAGTGAGGAAATTGAGGTACAGACTCAAAAAAGACTTTCTGAATTTCCCATGGGGATTCAGGGCCAGGCTTTTCAGATTCCATATCTTATACTCATCCAATTATGCATTCATTCAACACATATTCATTGAGCACCTACTATGTGCCAGTCACTGTGCTGGGTCCCAGGGATTAAATATTAGATAAGAAAGGTAGGATCCCTTCCCTCTTTATTTTATAATATTTTATTTATTTGAGAGAGACAGAGTGAGCATTAGCAAGGAGGAGGGGCAGAAGGAGAAGCAGACTCCCCGCTGAGCAGGGAGCCTGATTTAGGACCCTGATATCATGACCTAAGCTGAAGGCAGACTCTTAACCAACTGAGCCACCTAGGCGCCCTTGGGTCCCTACCCTCTTAGATACTTAAAAGGAGATAGAGGCCAGTTAACAGATAATTACCCAATGGTGTGGTAAATGCTACTGGTTTACTCTGGCAGCCCAGAAAAAAGAAAACACACACACACACACAAAACCTGTCCCAAATTATGAGTTTCTGGGAAGGCTTCCCAGATAAAGTAAGATCTCTATTAAAGCCTGAAGGGAAAGGTAGGTGTCCTCAGCAAGGTGAGGAGACAGGAGTGCACAATTAAGCTCTTCTAGGCAGAGAGAACAGCATAGGCAAAGATTCAGAGACTAGAGAGAGAGTGACATGCGCAGAACCTAAAAGGAATTCAGTATGGACTGGGAAAGAATGAATCACCAGCCTGTGTCATAGGAAGAGTCCTCCAGATGAATTCAGTCACAGGAGGAGGGCGAGGAGGCAGAGACCAGGGAAGAGCCGGCTGCAGTATTCTATATGAGAAGCCACGGTAGGTTAGACTACAATGGAGACCAGTGAGGTGGTGATGGCCATGGGGGGGAAGTGGGCCAAACCGAGACATACCTAGGAAACAGAAAAATGAGACTTACTACTTTCTTGAGTGGAGAGAGGAAGGTGTCTAGGATGACTCCAGCTT